ATCTCCACACAGAAAGTAGTTTCTTACAATAAATCGTATTTTAATATTTGATTTCCGTATAAGACCAGTCCAATCAATTTTACAGATTAACATAATTTACTTGTAGTGAGCTCAAACACACTAAAGTGATAGCTTGACTGTCTTTCATTAGACGTTCTTAAGAATATGGATTTTTTTCCATATTCTGGAAACAAGTATTTCCAGAACTTATTGGTGCTTTAACTGATGCTGGCAGAGCTTTGACATCGTTCATGACATTTCTGAAAATGTTATTATTGGCTCAGTCACTAATGAAACAAGGTCTTAAAGCAGCCTCCTCACTATGCCATTTCTATAAAGAGTCACTGACAAGAAATGCCAAAAATCCAAATGAATATAAAAACAACATAGTATAATCTATTTTTCAGAGAGAAAATGAGAATACAAAACATTTGATTCTCTGTTTTTTTATATGAAACATAAATGTTTCTTCCTTGGCGAAGCCTTCACTTCTCTAAGACTCACTTTTCTCATCTGTGAAGCGGGGAGAAGCCTGCCTAGCTCAGAGGGATATTAGGAGACAATGAAATACTGCATCAAAGGTACTAAACACAGTACCTCGCACGTGTACCAAGTTTGGTTTGTAGTAGACATTCTTAATATTGTTATTATCACATGGCCCAGAGTTGAGACCATCTGGAGCTGAAGAATCAAGAGCATCTATTGCAATCTTGGCCCCCAGGGGAACGGATCTCAGCCGAGAGTCTTCAGAAGCATATTGACTAGATTTGGAACGCTGTCCAGATGGCAAAATACTGGTTCTGCTCTCCTGGGCATCAGAACCTTTGTTTTGGTGACCTAGTCACCTTCAGAAAAGGTGAAACATGGGGGAATTTCCCCAACAGAGAGAAAACACAGAAAGGGAGAAAGCTGAAGAAGAGAGAGCAGAGAAAGGCAGCAGCGGTCCTTCCCCCAAGGCTGGTTCTTGCAGCCCAGCCCCCAACCTTCTGTGCATTTAGCCAACACTTGTACCAATGCTCTCAGCCCTTCTCACCTCTCCTCTGGACCCTGATCCACCAGCAGAACCCTCTTCCTGGGGCTCCTCTCGGCCATCTGCCTTGTGCCTGTCATCTCAGAGGCAGACTCTCAGGAGAGGACAGCTCTTTAAGAAGTGGGGACCCCACATTAAGTTGGGAACCCTCAGGTAGATACAGCTTTGAAACTGCTCATTTTCTGTGGTGTGCTAGGGAAGCCTGCCCTACTTGAAGTCTAGAAAACTGTGCCAGGGATCATATGAAATGAAGCTGGAGTCAGAAGTTCCCCCCCCCAAATTTCTAGTACAGGAAACAAAACCCCCACTGATTTGCTGTCGATTATATGATGGCTTAGCAAAGGGCAAGCAGGTGCTGGCTAAGAACAAGATTCACGTCCACATCCATGGCCTAACGCTGCCTCAGCCTTATGGCAGAAAGAATCCTCTTAGCCTGGGCGTTTACAGGGGCCTGAGGGGCTAACGTGATCACTTGCTCAGAGCAATTGCTAGGCTACCACTAGCATTGTCTTCCTAACACAGTTCCCATCACAGTCCTCTGCAGCTTAAACATCTTTAATCTTCCTACTGAAATGCAAACATCTTAGCACAGCATTCAAGGCTCTTCCCAATCTGGCCCTGAACTCTGACCCCATCACGCTCCCAAAGCTTCCAGAACATAACAAACCTCAAAACAAACTCAACCTGGAGCTCCCTTTCCTTTCATCCTCAAAACCTAGTTCTACAAAAGATAACGAGCATTGGTGAGGGTGTGGAGAAATTGGTGGGAATTTGGAATGCTGTAGTCACTATGAAAAATGGTATGGAGGTTCCACAAAAAATTAAAACAAGAACTACCATGCGATCCAGCAATCTCCCTTCTGGTATGTACCCAAAAGGATTGAAATCAGGGTCTCGAAGAGATATCTGGATTCCCACGTTTATGGCAGCATTGTTTACAATAGCAAAACCATGGAAACAACCTAAATATCCATCGATGGATGAATGAATAAAGAAAATGTAATATACACATATAATGGAATATTATTCGGTCTTAGAAAAGGAAATTCTGCCATTTGCCACAATCTGGTGAAGGAGGACATTATGCTAAGTGAAATAAGCCAGATGCAGAAGAAAAGACTACGTGATCCCACTTGTATCAGGAATCTAACGGGGTCAAACTCACAGCAGCAGAGAACAGAACAGTGGATGGCAGGGCTGGAGGGGAGGGGAGCTGGGAGGTGTTGGTCAAAGGGTACAAAGTTTCAGGTGGACAAGAGAAAGAAGTCCTAGAGATGTGCTCTACAGCAGACTGCCTATATTTAACGATACAGTAATGTATACTCAAAAATTTGTTAAGAGGGTAGATCTTATGTTGTGTTCTTATCACAAAAAATACCCCAAAATACCCAAATACCTCTCCTGAAGAGCTCTCCAGAACCCACACAAACTTGCTCCCCTGGTTTACTGACGCCTCTGATAATTTTACCAAATACGTGGTTTGTTTCTCAGCTCAGAAAATCGTAGTAGTTAAGAGTCTCTGCGGCCAGTCCGCCTGGCCTCAGTAGCCGAGGGATCTTAAGCCTCAGTTTCCTCATACATTCCATGGGGACACTGATACCCCCTTCTCCATCAGGTTGTTCTGGGAATTAAATGTCTAATTTGTGTAAAGCATCTAGCACATTTTAAGGGTTCAATAAATGTTAACTCTAGTTATTACACAGCATTTGTTTAGTTGTATTAGTTGGTTGTTTCCACGCGTGTTTCACCAGCTAGGTTGTGAGCAGCTGAGGGTAAATCCCTGTATTTGTCTATCTTCCTGCTACTAGGTGGTCAATACCCTGATGAATTAAGTTGAACTGAATTGAGGTCCCACCAGAGGGCAGTAGCTTCCAGCCCCAGCATTCTTCCTCTGGAGCCCTGCTCCAAGGCTGGACAAGCTAAAAACAATTCTCCGTTTATGGGCAAGAAACAGCTAATGGAGCTGAGGTTGTTCCCAATTTCCTACCACCAAGTAGCCATTAGTTCTGGTGCCTCGACCACAGATGAAACCAGATGGGAATTTGAGGAAGCAGAGAGCTGAGGTCTTCCTTCCCACCCTGGGAACAGAGTCACCCTGAGTCTCCTGGGTCTGAGGACGTTTCAGGGGAAGGCAGATCATTGGAGGGAGGGGAGAGAAACCAAATACCTGAACTGTTTGCATGGAAGGCAAGTTGGTGAACCTCAAACAAGGAATTCTGAAATTAGACAAGGAGACAAAGAACGAATCATTGGGTAGCCTGCAATCATTGAGAAGAAAGCAAAGGAGAAAGAGGGAAACAACCAGCACAGGTGTCAGGGAGACCAGAGCCTCTTCCTGGCCATCAAGGGAAGCCTCAGGATACGTCCTGGCTGTGGGTCTTTGTTCACGGTCGCAGGTGCTTCCTACCTCCCATCCTAAGTGGAACATGCTCCAGCTGAAAGTCACAGACTGAAATTTACTGCAGAAGAAAACTATGGAGAATCATTAAGTAAAATTTATGTACTTGTCTAAGTAAGACCCTATGAGAACCCCCAGAATTACCATTGTCTTCACTGTCCCCATTGTCACATCTCTTCTGTTAACCAAAATTCACATGGGACTAGTACAGGTAAGTCATTGGACTGATTCTTTAAGGTGATGACCAGTTTATCCACTTCTTCTGCCCCCAAGGCCTAAAAGCTCCCCTTTCTACTGATTTATGCTTTAATTAATGGGGAGTAAATTTTTATACAAGACTACGTCACCTGTGTTCTTTCCCCAATGAGAAACATCGCCTGCTCTGAATTCCATTTTTTAAAAAAGTAGATAGCCTTCTGTTTTCCAAAGTCTCTGTTTTTCACAGTTCAACTGGAAAGGTAAAGAGCTCACATCCTTGTCCTTGTATTTCAAAGATTACCGTCATGTTAACACAACCCTCCGTCCAGAATACAAGCTGCTGTGTTCCTCTCAGAGGTGCCCGTCACCTGGGTTTGTAGCCCTGCACAGTCATTGCCTGTATCCGTGGTTCTCAAGCCTCAGCAGACATCAGACTCACGTGGAGAGCTTGTAAAAACACAAATCCCGCATTTCTAACAAATTCCCAAGTGATGCTGATGCTTCTGGTCCAGGAACCACACTTGTGAGAGCCGCTGATCAGAAAGGTCCGGAACTCCTTCAGCATTTATTTCTGCTGGATAGATTCTAAAACCTGGGGCAGGGGCTCAGAAAGACACTTGCTTTTCCTGAGTTGAGTAGTATGACAATGTGTGGTTGTGCTTATTGTACATTGGAAATGCCTCTGCTCCGACTCACCCCTGATTTGAATGCTAGATTAGGAAGATGTTGAGCTTACAGACTAGGGGGAGATGGTGATTTGTAAATGCATATGTATGTTTGGAAAAGACATGTATGAGTTTGGAGAGTTTCCTGACTTCCAAAGATCCATCAGATACTAGCTGGGATTCTGTCAACCTCAGAATTCCAAGGGGACTGGATTCTGAAGAAAGGAAATGCCCAATTATAGGCTATGGGAACTCTTTTTCTTTTCTTTTTTTTTTACAAAGAATTCTGAAAAAGAAAATAAGAAAGAGGTACAAAATGGAACATAATTTACCAGGAGGGCTGAGCAGGTGGCCTTGTTCAAGGTGTGTAAGAGAGAAAGAGAAGGAGAAAAATCGATCAGAACCAAGTGAGGGTTGTCAGTTTCAGCGAAATCTCAAGTATCTGGAAGGCAGTTGTGAGTGTATTTTGTTTTAACAAATATAGCCTTGTCCGCACCCCACCACGTTCTTTAGTACCACAGAAGGTTCTTTTACAGTGAAGTCTCCAGCCCTAAGCCTTATCGAGTCATTAATATTTCATCTAAAGGAATATAACATCTTCAACTGAAACCTAAGAGTAAGATCTGGACACAAGCATTCAAAGATGAGGTATGTTACAGCTGGAATAGAGTGCGTGGGAAAAGACTGTTATTTTCTCTTTTTCTTTCAGAAACAGGGAAGATTGACCAAGAGATTCACAAATACAACACCCCAGGATTCACTGGGTGCCTCTCCAGAGTGCAGTTCAACCAGATCGCCCCTCTCAAGGCGGCCTTGAGGCCAACGAACGCCTCGGCTCACGTGCACATCCAGGGCGAGCTGGTGGAGTCCAACTGCGGGGCCTCCCCGCTCACCCTCTCGCCCATGTCGTCCGCCACCGACCCCTGGCACCTAGACCACTTGGATTCAGGTAAAGTGTAACGCAGTCTTGCTTGGGCAGATTGCTTTATTTCTTTAAACCTCAGTTTCCTCGTCTGTAAAATGGGGTGAAAAACAGCACCTGGCTAGGAATGTTGTTGGATGGAAGATTATGAGCACGAAGGCATGCACGAGTGCAGGGTTCTTGGCAGAGTGCTTAGCACACATCAGGTGCTCAGAAGTTACAGCCGTCCTTCTTGCTCAGTGCCAGAAGGAAAGAAGGGAAGGGAAGGGACGCGGAATTCTTGAGTCTTCTTGGTTCAGATGGAATTATGCGAGGCCCGAACTGATGTCTGCAAAGTGCCTGTCGGAAGATCCAGTCAAATCTCTGCCTCGCTTTTGCCTTTATGACTCTCACTTGCAGCCCCGAAGTCCAGGCTCTAATGTCAGGAGAAACCATTTACCTAAAGCACTACAAAGATTCATCTCCCAGCACGGTGTGGTTTTTAAGAGGTGCATTTAGGCTTACAAATCCCACTTCTACTGCTGATAAGACACGTACTTTGAAAGCACAGGCTAAATTGAAAGGCTGTAGCTGTTGGCTGCAAAATTAATTGGATGCAAATTCAGTGTTCTCATAACACGAGTGGTGGCGAGCCTTTAGTCCTGCTCCTCACTCTGTGCAAGCTGACCTTGAGGAACCCAGGGAACCTCTCTAAGCCTCTGCTTTGTCACCCATAAGGTGACAATGTGGGGTGTGATCCCTAAGTGACCTTCAAATCTAACATTCAGCGGGTCCCCAAAGCAATGTGGGATGTTGCTGATGCTAAAGATGGGAAGAGAAAGAGGTGGGAGGCAAGGTGGTGGTGGGGCCTGGGTACCAATCCCATCATTGCCTCTCACCGGCAGGTTTCATAATCGTTCCTCAGTTTCCCCATGTCTGAAATGGAATTAATAAGACCTAATTCATAGAATTCCTCGTGAGACAATGTATTTAAAGCACTTAGCACAGTCGTAGACAGGTAGCAAGCTTTAAAAAGGCTTAGCTGCAATAATATTAACAATGTGGTTATTATATTAGACACAATTTGCTGTGATGCTTGAAGGTCCAGTAAAGCCTTCCAATCCCCCCCCCCCGACCTTAACTGCTCATTTGTAACAGTTCGTCACGTGAACGTGGTACATTTGATTGCTTTATGCGTATTCCAGCCCCGTGCATGGGATTTATTGTCTTCAGTGCAGTCTCATCATTGAGAATCCTTGCTAGGATTTGCGCTGCAAAGCTTTGTAAAGCTTCAAAAGAAGCCAAAATTGCCCCGTTGTCAGAATAGCCAATTTACAGACTAAACAAGCAGCTTTGTTCCTCACACATGGATTCCTACAACATGATGAGGGGTGCTGTGTGCCAAGGGTACTTATCAAGAATTCCCTTTTATGAATATTGTTAGGATTACACAGCAGGCTGGTTTTTCCTCATGCACAGGCTTAAACAAAGGAAAGCATTCCTAATGCTGAAAGAAAAAAAGTAGGAATGAAAATATGAGATGAGAAAAGACTTATGTCAGGGCTACACAGGAACAAAGATTTCTCAGATAAATTTTTCCAAATACCAGAGTGGATGGAAATAAGGCATGATCCATGAAACACACGTCCTTCTGCTGCATGAGGACGCAGGTACCCGCTACAGGAGGCCGTGAGCATATTCGGTCTAAGACGGCCGCCGAGAGACGAGTTTCAAAAATATCTAGATGCGAATTTTTGATTTTTTCTTTTAGCGATTTGACTTTTCTCTTTTAGGTGAATAGGAACATGAGAGAGAATAGGGAGCAGGGGGCTGGACAGGGGACAGAGAAAGACATAGACACCAGAGAAGGTTACTTAATAGCAGCCTCCAGTGGGTAGTCTCAGGGAAGAAAAACTTTCCCCTCTCAGGTTCAGTAAGTGGGGACTGCAAATCAAGCTGATAAATACAGGTTAACAGGGAAAAATGTTTATTCCTATGCATATGGGAGCTTACAAAAGAAGTAGCTGAATAAATGGCTAAAATTAGAGCTTCTATACCTTGCTTAGTAAGGAAAAGGGAAAGGAGAAAAGGCCTGTATGGGAAATACAAATGGGTTTCTAAAAGAACAAAGGAGAGAGAGGACGGCTTGTGATAATGCTTGTTGATGCAGGTGTGGGTGGTCTCTCTGTCTTCCTCCAGGCCGTAAAGCTCCCCTGGAATGGGGATTCATGGTAGGTTTTCTCTTGGTCTCCTTCCTGGGATTAAAAGGCACTCAGAAGAGGGAATTTATGGCAGCTTCATTTCTCAGAAGTTTCTACTTTTAATCAGATAAGAGAAACTCCAGAAAGACTTCTTTCTGCATCTGGTGAATCCCAGATGTCCCCAGTTTAAAAGAATCCTCATGCCCACTCTGGGGTTCTAGGTGGGTTGCACATCGGCAAGTGCACCACAGCTTTTGTGAGCTGAAGTTCATCATTCTGAACGCTGATTCGAGGGGTTTGCTTTGATCAGATCATCTTTCCTGGGTGCATAGAATAAGAATCCTCATCATCAGATGATCAGAAACAAAACAACAGTGTATACATCAAGGTGCATTGCTAGCTCTAAATCATGTGTTACTTGAGTCTGTGTAGGTAGAGGACAGGAAGAAAATAAAGGTGAGAGCTAATGAGTCCTGGTTTGAATAGAGGATGTTTGAAAGTAGATCGTTTCCTCTGGTATCTCGGAGAGTGTGGACCTCAACCAACAGCACGAGTATCACCTGGAGGCTTGTTAGAAATGCAGCATCCCAGGCCCCCGCCCCAGGCCCACTGAATCAGCATCTACATTTTAGCAGGATTCCCAGGTGACGGATGTGCGCATTCGAGTCTGAAAGCGCTAATCTAGCACAGTGGTTCTCAAGCTCAGGTGACTTTCAAATTTCCTGGAGAGCTTTTGAAAATCCCAACATCCAGGCTACCCCCCAACCAAATTCAATCAGTCTTCTTTTCTTTCTGCTCCCTTACATTTCCTTCTTATATCTTAGATGATAGCAAATGATAAAAACAAAAAATATATTTCAAGATACAGTGACTTCGTGTGATATGATCCTTTTCCTCTCTTGTGACACTACTGACTGAGCTACTCCTTACCTCTCTAATGCTCTTCAAGCCCTGTCACTGTTCTCCAAAGTGAGGGACACTTGTGTTAGTCAGGCTGTGCACTGCACAACTCCAGGGGATGCCACTTGCACTGCAGTCTATGGCTCCTGGGGCAGTGCAACATGGTAGTCTTGACAGGGAGTCACCAAATCACTATGGGAAGAAAATAGACGTGGCATTACATAATGTGGTTATTTCCTCTCCATTTCTCTTTCAGTCCTTTTAACTTTGTCGAAGAGAAAGTCTCTGTTTGGTCCTGGTATGCCATTAGCATCTCTCCCACTCTTTGCTAAGGAGAGATCGGGCTTCAGTTTAGAGGCTGGACAGGCAATAGAATTACTCACGAGGGTTTTGAAGTTTCATCAATGCATTTATTTAAATACAAAATTGGATCAATTTAGTGAAAATAAGTAAGTAAATAATAATTAGATTTTACACGGATATGGCAAAAAATGTAAAGGTGATTCCCACGCAACTGGAGTTTAGAAAACACTGGACAGCATGACAGGATTATCACGAACCGAAGGGCCTAGCAGGGGGCCCTAAGACTGATATTTTAGAGGGGAATGATCAACAAAACTATGTGGATTTGATTTAAACCAATTCTGCCTACAGAATTGGAAACATCCTATTAGAAACATCCGGTCTGTCTTTTTTCTGCCTGGTTTTTCCCCCTTTGACAATAGGTGCGGCCTGTTTCTGAAGCTCGTCGTCATGTCCTTAGGCACATTTTTAGAACAGTAGTTACCAGGTAGAAGGAACAACCTCCAGCCCTGGGTTCTGGCCTATTTGAAGGTCGCAGAGCACCAGACAAGTGTGATTTTTGCTTCTCAGAAACGTGGGCTCTGTCATGTCCTTAGGCACATTTTTAGAACAGTAGTTACCAGGTAGAAGGAGCAACCTCCAGCCCTGGGTTCTGGCCTATTTGAAGGTCGCAGAGCACCAGACAAGTGTGATTTGCTTCTCAGAAACGTGGGCTCTGTTTTCTTTCTTGGTCAAATTCAGGACCTCCTACTTCATTGGAATGGCATGGATTTGCCAGCAGAAAGACAGCTACAGATGGCAATGCACATTCTGTAAAATGTAAAAACAAAACAAACACCAGAAAAAACAAATCCGAGGGTCTGATGCCATAAATTTCTACACCAAAGAACAACCCCAAACTGTACATCAAGCCATTTTACGAGGCGTTCGTGTGAAGCCTTGGGTGTTTTTTTCACATTCATGATATTTGTTACAGAATACATCATACTAATGGCCACATCCTTTTTGAAATATCATTAAAATAGACAAGGCACTTTAGGATGTAAGATTTCGTTTCCTAAGGACTCTTCTAGTTATAAAGATTGTAACTAGTTACTGTTTCACAGGACTTCCAGTGCTTCCAGGTAATATTCTCAGCACAAGTTACATGGTAGATGACGTGGTGCATACCTCCATTATCCCCAAGGACATCGCTCCCCAGAGGGTTCCTGGAGAATCAGCCTCTGCAAGGTGCTGGCGGTTGAATTCATAGTATCCACTGTCACCTTGAGTTATCTGGCCCCCACCCTACAGCTAACTGTGTCCCATCCTGAGAGGCTCTTAGCCAGGAATGCTTACAGCCCCTCTGAGAGGGAAATGGGCCAACGTGGAAAATCCAGAAGCACTGAGCAGAGTGGAAGGCAGTTAACACAACCCAGTTCTCCTCTTGCCCAGATCCAAGGTCAGAGGTTGTCAGGAATCCAGGGGGATCCAAACCCAAACTTGTCCACTGGGTTCACTCAGGTTCGCAGAGCAGTTGAAAAAGCAGCCGTCGTAGGAATATGCTTCTTCTCCAAACTAAATCAGGAACTCGATGAATATGGAACCTGGGATCACTTAATGTAACAACCCCATGCCCCAGTTAGGTTCCAGACTGTGCAGTCCGCCGGGGGCCTGTGCACTGAGTACTAATGCCTGCACCCCCACTGTTTACCACTGGGAAGAGGGAGTTGATTTCTCAAGGCACCCACACCTCTATTGCTGTGATTTTTGATGACTTGATTTCTTGCCTATATTCCAAATTTCCTTTCCGCTATCTGAAGATAAAATATTTTTTATATCTTCACGTGCAAAAGTGGTCTGAATATCAGGAACACTTAAAAACTGCATATATCTATTCCCTTTCCTTCCTAATTACAAGCTGGTAGTTGGTTTTCTTTACCACCTGCAAGCACTTAATCTTTCCAGCTCTTATCATTATATCTTAATTATTTCTGAGCAGATCGCTTTTTTCATGCTTATGCTAAGATTGCGTGATTAATGTGTTTAATCTCTGTTACCTAATCTTTTTATTGTCTTCTGTGTCTTTTGTACTCTTCAGTGACCGACACAGTACATGTTTATTCAGGTGCAAAGAGCATTTATCATCCCCCCTTTCTAATGTGTCCTTTTACCACAAATGACGCAAATTCTTCTTTTCTGCAAAACCACCAACATGTTTATATAGCTCAAGTCAAATTTAATATTAGAGTTACAGATTTTTGATCTAAAGTCATTTAAGTTGTTCCCATCTTTTGTTTCCATGATGAATGGCTTTGTACACATGATTTTGGTGAGTCAAAAGATGTGTTTCTTGGGGCTGGCACCGTGGCCGAGTGGTTAAGTTCACGTGCTCTGCTGCAGGCAGCTCAGTGTTTCGTTGGTTCGAATCCTGGGCGCAGACATGGCACTGCTCATCAAACCACGCTGAGGCGGCATCCCACATGCCACAACTAGAAGGACCCACAACTAAGAATATACAACTATGTACTGGGGGACTTTGGGGAGAAAAAGGAAAAGAATAAAATCTTTAAAAAAAAAGGTGTTTCTAATTTTGACAGTTACTACATATCACCCCTCCAATGATGCAGTACCTCGAATCCAATGAAGTATGAGTGTCTTTTTCCCCACACCCTCCCCAACACAGCACAGTATTCTTTTAAATTTTACCATATTTTATTTGAAAAATGAAATTTTATTGTTTTAATTAGGATTTCATTAATGAGTGAGATTGAATATTTTTGTATATATTTATGTCAGTTGTATTTATTTTTCCATGAACTACCTGTTTATACTCCTTAACCAAAGAATTATTTATAATCTTTCCTGTTAGTTTGTTGGTAATTTACTACTTGTACAAATTCTTTATATATTAAGCAAATTAGTATTTTGCTACATGTTCACGTTTTCCCGGTTTGATCTCTATTTTTTGATATTATAGGGGTTTTTTCCCCATGTAAAAATTTCTAAATTTTACATGGTGAAATAGTGTCTTATGGCTTTTGCATTTTGTGTCATGCCTTCTCTATCCAGAAATTCTTCAAAAAATTACTCCAGGGGCCTGCCCCATAGCATAGTCGTTAAGTTCGGCACGCTCCACTTGGGTGGCCCAGGTTCATGGGTTCGGATCCCAGGCACTGACCTACACTGCTCGTCAGCCATACTGTGGTGGCAACCCATGTATAAAGTGGAGGAAGATTGGCACAGATGTTAGCTCAGGGCTAATCTTCCTCAAGCAAAAAGAAAGATTGGTAACAGATATTAGCTCAGAGCAAATCTTCCTCAGTAAAAAAAAAAAAATTCCACATTTTTTCTAATGATGTTTTTGTTTTATTTGTAAGATTTATGTATTTACTCCACTTGAAATTTATTTAGGTAGAACGAGTAAGGTAGGAAGTCACTTTTTTTTTTCCAACTGGCCAGCATATTTGTTGAGGTTCCATCCTTTTTCCTGCCTTTCTCGTATTGAGAATGGCCTTTCTGTTTGAGTCCACCTCTGGACTCTGTGACGTGTTGTGTCGATCTGACTCTCCATGAGACGGCAGCGAGATGTGATGATGATTGAGCTTTTATAGCAGCAATTAATAGCTCATAAATCTAATTTCCCTTTCATTCGCTTTTTTCCGAACTTTTCTGTCCTTGCACATTTACTTTTCCCATGTGAATTTAGAGTTTCAATCCCAAATTTTATTCAGATTGTCTAGAGTTTTTATTGAGATTGAATTTTATGTGTAAGTTAATTGCAGGATAATTGACGTCTATATAAATAATATTTTCCTGTCCAGAAAGAGAATTGTCTTTCCACTCATCATGTCTTCCCCTCACATTATACAAAACTCATATGAAGATAACTTTAAAACATTTCCTGATAAATTAATTTCTAAGTCGTTCCTCTGTTTTTGCAAAGCACAAAATCTAAAAGCCATAAAAAAACCTCCCTATGTGAAGGTCAGCTCATTTGGCACCTGACTACGTCAGCGAATCCTTCACAGTGGCGCCCAGATGAGTGTTTAATTGAATATAATTGGGAGAAGGTGTGTGCACACCTGGGGTGGGACTCTAAGAGGGCCATCTTAGAATTCTGCCTACATACATACAGATCTTATATGTGTGTATATCTTTGGGATTCTTATATGATAGCTGAAGGATTCCTGTTTTGATAAGTTTTATCAGGGTTAGATGTTGAATAGTATCTAATGCCATTTCAACATCTAGGGAGGTGACGTGTGCTTTTTGTTCTGTGATAAATTAGTAGGATGAATTGTGGTAGTAGATTGCCAAATAGGGAACCAAGCTTTCATCCCGACCATTAACCACACTTAGTCATGGTGAGGCGTTCTCTCCAGGTATAACTTAAGTTGTCGAACTAAAACTTTGTTTAGTTTAGGTTTCTTTGTTTTTTACATCGATAATTCTTAGGGGAGACAGGTTTGTAGCATTTTTTTACCTTTTTTGGGCGGGGGAGGGTTGCAGATTTGGGTTTTAACCTTCTGCCAGCTTCATAGAAAGAAAGCAGAAGGGGCCACACAGCAAGGAATGCGGGAGGCCTCTAGGAGAGCAGTCCTGGACGGACCAGAAAGGAAACTGGGACCTCAGTCCTACAGGTGCAAAGGTTGAATTCTGCCAACGACAAGAATGAGCTTGGAAGCACATTTTCCTAGGGCCTCTAGACAAGAACTCAGGCCTGCCCACTCCTTGATTTCACCTCCTTGCTGCCTAGCCACACCATGCCAGACATCTCCATTACTAACTAGTGGAATAATTCACGTAAGTGCCATCCAAACATTCACGTGCTTAGAATCACCTGGGGAAACTAATGAACACAGATTCAGCAGACCAGACCAGAGACAGGATTTGAGATTCTGCATTTCTAACAAGCTCCCAGGTGATGCTGCCACTGCAGGCCCACGGACCACACTGAGAGTGGCAAGGATATAAATAGCCTTGGAGCATTGCCTGTACCTGGTGAGTTCGGCAGACTTCCCTGCAAAGCCACTAGAACCTACTGGGTTTGGTGGGCATAGCTCTTTGACAACTCTCTCGATTTCTTTTATGATAATTAGTTTAATTAGATTCACTTTCTCATCTATGACAATTTCTGTTACTTTATATTTTTCTAGAAATTCATGCATTTAATCTAGGTTTTCAAATTCATTCCCATATAGTTGAACAAAATAAGTTTCTATAATTTCCATTCTCTAGAAAATTTCACATTGGTATTTTTGATACTATAGATTTAGGTCTTCCTCCTTTTCTTCTTGATTGGATTATCTAACGCCCCCCTCCCCACAAAGGAACTGGCTCTGGATTGATTGATTCTACCGTTTTTTCCTCTACCCTTTGCTTTTACTTGACTTTAAATTTTTCTTGCTGCTCTTTAAGTTTGTAATCTGGATGTTTAATTCTCTTGTCTTCATTTTTGGTGTGTGTGTGTAACATCCTCTCACAGAGGAACATGAACCAAAGTTAACAAATCTAGCACATTCCAGATGCGTTGTCTTGGCATGAATACTTCTAACTCGACTTTTATCTAAGGGACCTGAGAAGTCTTTAGAGACTGCCTTAAGTTGCCACAGGCTTCCCACATCTCTGAAAGAACAGATTTGGCCGGCCTGTGTTTTGCAAAGCTGTGGGGGCCGTGATGAAGAAAGGAGAGAAGAGCGAATCATCACTTAAGCGGCTAAAAGTGAGGCGATGGGATTTGAGTCCCCTCCAGCCCCGCCCTCCTTCCCCACCATCCTCTCCACACTTGCTGTTCTCTGGTGGCTCCAGAGGCCTGAGCGGGTCACTGGGCTGCTTCGCTCGAGGCTTCTGTTCTTTCCTCACCAGGATCATTCAACTCTCTGAAACTCCGCTGTGAGAAAATCAAAAGGGGCACAAACGTCCAGCTTTGGGGCAACTTCTGAGGTCCTCGTTTCTGCCGTTGTGTGGGCCTCTCTTTCAGTCCCAGTTTTCCTCTACCTCTGTCTTTCTTTCTTTCCCTTCCTCCCTTACAGTAGATTTTGAACCCCCAGGACGTTAGAATCCTGTCCCAGTCCCCTCTGCTCTCCACCCTCCGACCCCACCCCACCTGGTACCGCGCTCAGAGATGCGGCTCCCCCCGGGCTGTGCCTGGCATCCTCTCAGCTGTCATGTCCGTCACGTGAGGCTGGCAGAGTGCAGCATAACACAGGCGTATGCGTTGCTATGGTGACTTCTTTGTTGATGGCAGAACCACTGACTCCAAGTCACACTATTCATTTGTGCCTCCTTCTTGTGTCAGAGGAATGTTATGAGAAGCCCATGAAAATCAAGTAGATTTGAGCTCAGTGTGGTCCACCAATGTCTGTGTCCATCCTTGCCTCCATCAATCCCCCGACTAACTCTTCCTACCGCACTGCATTTACTTGGGGCCGTTCAGGGGAGAACAACACCCCCCAAATTAATCTGGCTTCACTTCCTTTACTGACCTGTCATTCAGAAAGACTATTGTCAGAATCTCTGGGTGTGAATTCTCCCGAGGGAATCCTTGCCAGTCCCTACCTGGAAATGCTAGTTCCACCTTTGCTGGCAAATCAGGGCTTTGTGTCCTTGCCTATGACTTCTAAAGATGCAGAAACGTTAACCAGATGATGTTTTTGACCCAGCACCATCCGCTCTTCAGAGGAAAGTCCCTGCGTAAAGGCCAGTGACAAATAGGCAATCAGTTGTTTGACTCATTTGAGATCTTTCGTTGATTCTCCATGCTCTGCACACACTATTCAGAAATGTCTAAAACCCAGGTGGATTCTTGATTCTGCTGTTTGAGTTTCTGCCTAGGCACAGCCTTGGAAGGCTTAGCAAAAGAAGTAAAATCAATTTTATGTTAAAATGTAAATGCACATAAAAATCCATATGAATGTGGGGTGCAGTTATTTTAAACGTAGAAAACTAGATGAATCGCTTTGAAATTTCCCCCTTAGAAAAGGCTAAAAGTGGTTTTCAAGAATTTACTTGGGAATTTTAATTTTTAGAAAACTGGAAAGGATAAAGACAAATTATGGTGGCTTAAATCTGTAAATGACCTCAATTGCTGAAATGCTGTCAGTGCATGATTTTGTTTTATCCTGACAATGGCCTGATGTAGAGGACATTATTAGCCATGTTTTAAAGATAAGGAAAATACGACTCAGAAAATAAATATATTCATTCCCTCAGTAAACTTCTGTGAGCTGCTGGAGCAGCGGCTGGCTCAACTGTGGCTGCACATTAGCATCAGCTGGGGAGCTTTTTGGCACTCCTGAGGCCTGCTCCCATCCTGAGATCTTAATGTGCAGTCAGTACTGCGAACCAACGGGTCCTGCTGTTTATAGCACCTTGCTCAACAATACAGAGAACAGCATTATGGGGTCTCAAATTCAGGTAGACTCACTCCTCATTCAGTGCTTTTTGCCCTTTTTCCTCCCCTCAATGAAAACTTTGAATTTAAACATAAAAGATTTGTGGTTCTTTCTAAACTGTTTTCCTGTCTTCTGCCATCCCTTAAATATAATGCAGAAGTCTGAAATAATAAGGAATTTGCATCCCCGTAGGTGAAATTCCTGCTACTAAATATACCTTGCTTCTTTCCCACTTTCTCTTTTGATATGGAATAAATCATCCCCAAGACTGTGAGAGCCAATTGAATATTTTTTCACCCTCTGTTGACATGAATGAGAAGAAGAGCGATGACAGAGCCACATGGCTTGTGCTGGAAGTTTATCACATTATCTTGATGCTGATGTGAGCCAGCATCACGGAGGAATCTGCTGCTGGGGAAAATCAGGAAGCTTTCCTAGGCGAGGGGAATTCCTTTCACAAGGTTCTCTTTGATGACCATGAGCCATTCCACCTGCCAACGAGCGAAGACACTTGTCTTTTGAGATCTGGGGTTAGTTCAGGAAGAGAACGGTTCAAAAGACAATGGAAATGTCTAGCATGGGGGTTGTGTATTCAGCTCTCTGAGATCAGCCTTCTTGGAAGAAAAGACATTGTCTTGGGATTGGAATTATAAACTTTCACTTGTGCTAATGCAGCTGAAAAGACCATTTCAGAAGCAAGAGCCCAACTGGGCATTGATAAAAGACTTAAAATATTTGCAGAATTAATTTTTAAAGGCACTTTAGGTTTGCTCACTGCCCCCTTTAATAGACCACACACAGGAGCCAGAATCTCGTCAGCAGGCTGTGATCTGGGTGTACGCCACTGTGTTCTCAGAAACCTTTCTCATCTGTATGCTGGTTTCTGAACACTTAGAAAGAAAAAGGGTCAATTTCACATTTTGATGAAACAGCAGTTACAACACAGACATCCTACGAAGCCAAAGCCATGTGAACATTGACAGAGCCGGTCTACAGAAAACAGGAGCATATTCATCATCTGAAACTGAAGACAACATTTTCTGCAAGTTGAGAGATAGAGGTTGTAGCAGGAGATTAAATGTTTTTTAAATGCGTTTTACTCACTGTACTACCTTGAAAGACATCCGATGATAACAAAAGCAAATCAGTAATATCCAGCCATTTCCAAAAGAGCCATCCACAGTCAAATTTTGGCCTTTGAATTACTAGAAATTTCCACAAAGAGGGAGTAAAAGAAGACCCTTCATCCTTGCCTGACTCCTCAAATGACTAAATGTGCCTAAATATTCTCACAAATGATGAAACTCATCTTTTGACTGGATTATAGATGATAAAAAAAGTTATTTTCACCAAGCTCCAAAAGCCACAAATTCTCGAAGTCCAAAGCCATCACTGATACTTGCATAATGCCCGGTGTGTGTTTCTCAGTAGAAGGCGTAAGGTAACTGCTCCGGAAGATGTTTGTCTTCTGGACGGTGCCAATTCTTGACCACTGTCTGAGAGGAAGGGTGGAATACGTCGAGGAAGTCTTTAAAAGATGCATTTGGCTTATTCACCATGACTGGCTGCCTTCCTCTTCTCACTATCGTTATTTTTCTCAACCATCCTCTCCTTAGAAACTGAGGCTATTTCTATGGTTCAGCAGACAACTAATTCTTGTTGATACTGCTTTGCTGATAAGGAAAACACTAATGGTGTTAGCTGAAACCCCTGTGTAACAGTTGTGTTCACCAGGCTTGGTAAATGTCCCCAGCTGTGACCCAGCACGTCATCAAGTGATGTACAGTTGCTCTGGTGCCTTCGGATGTTAACACAGCACATTCCTCCAGGGCCTTGGGCTCTCCACCCTGAGCTGGCCGCGTCCTGTCATCGCACAACCCCCACTCACGCAAGAACAGCATCAAGGAGCCAAGAATCCTTTCAAAAAACAAACCGATATACTGCAGAAAAATCAACAACCCAGTATTGTAAAAAACATGTCTGTTCTCCCTCATATGCTTTTGAATGCATCTGTAACATCAGGAACCAACATGCCGGCGTCACATTTTTCCTCCCTGATATGCTTGCTTTGTAGAACCAATTTGTATTTTTGTTTTAAACTAGGAAGGGTCTCCAAGGACTTGCCTGAGATAACCATTTATGAAACTCCTTGGCGGTTTTTCTTAGACTGCTCTTAACATGGATTAGTAATAGGCTCTCACCGTCTACATTCAAAATCCTAAAGAATTGTACTCAGAAATTGAAGCAGTGTTACTGTCGTCGCTTTCACAACACTTAAAAAGAAATAGGGCTAAAGAAATAGAACTGTGGGGCGTTCTGCCATGCATATCATTAAAAGCACACAAATAATTCAGCCAAAAAAAAGACAAGGTTCTCAGAAGGAATTATTTCAATTCCCTCTCAGGCACCGCATTAAATTAAAACTCACACGCACAGGAGGAGCTGGAGAGATGAACCACTGAGGGTCTCCATTAAAGCTCTGCTAGTCAGAGTGAGGTTTGCGCTCAGGCACCCTGGCGGCCTGTTAGAAATGCAGACTCCCAGGCCCCCCCAGACCAGCTCAATCAGAATCTGTATTTTAACAAGATCCCAGGTGCTTTGCGCCCTAAAGATTGAAAGCTCTAACCAAAGCACTCAGGAGTCAGGTTATTTTTTTTTCCTAAAGGCACATCAGAATGAGTCATAAAGAGGAAAAAAAAGCCTAAGGAACCCCCAGTTACAAAAAGGGAGGCCCTTTTATCCCTGACCTCCAGGGCCCCATTCATAGGAAGTGATAGCACCCGACGGGGGAATCCTGTTACTGCTGAGTGCAATCTGTAAACTGTGTTTTCCCTCAGAAAGAATTTAAATGCTACTTCCCAAATTTATCCTATTGCCCCAGATTTGGGGCTTCTGCATTCTTGCATCCCTGCTGACGTCAACATGAGTTGATAAACGCCCTGTGGCAGACAGGAAAGGAGCGACTGCACACCTCAACAGAGAGGAGTCGGTCAGTGCTCCTAAGTGAAGGAAAAGGCCTGGCACTGGGCTCCCAGCCCCTTGCCCTGGGCTTTCCTGGTCTAGACGTTCAAGGCTCATGCTGAGAAATACAGGAAGATGCCTGGAAATAGTCCTGGATGAGTGCAGAGAGCTCGAACCAGTGACCCTGGCACCTACTCGCTACTTGGCTCTGACCCAAACGCTGTCCTGGGCTTCAGCCTCCCCAGCTGTAGAGGGAGGGTGTGGGACTAAAGAGCCTGCAAAAGCCGGCTGGAACAATCCATGATTCACAAGTGCCCCTAACAGCCAATAGCTTTGACAATTGACTTACAGACAATTATAACTAACGCGAAAGAAAAAGCAATTTGCCCACCTAAGAAATAACAAGACATCTTAGTCTAATGTGAAAATGGACACCATATGTCTTATCTTACTGTTTATTTAATGGAATACAAAGTCTGAGCTTCTAGCAATAATGAGCTATTTCCCGTTAAAATACCTGTTTATAGTTAATCAGACAAGAGAGTGCAGTGTTGGCCTAGTCTGAGTGTCTCAGTAAATCTTTTTTCTGAAAGGCAATTGAGACAACGCAAAAGTTGGCTTTTTAAGAAAAATAATGGAAGGAGAGAACTTAAAATCAATTGCTCATTCAGCATTTTGCTAAATGCGCAATTTGGCATTGTTTAAATACTGCCAAATTTATAATAATCAAGACATATAGTAGATGGTGACAAGTTCCTTTATTCTGTTTCTTTTCACCTACTTTAACCTCTTTTGGTCACTGGATCTCAAACACTTCATGCAAGCAGCTGCCACTTGCCCTCTCTATTAAGAAACTGGAAATGTAAGGCTTAACTTCTCAAGTGAGAAGCCAAAAACTCATAATCTCTTCCCCATTTGAAATCAGAAATTCTGGCTGTCTGTCTGTCTGCAGAAACAGCGAAGGATCTAGGTAAAAATACAAGACTGAAGCTTGTGGAGGTACGTGCCACATATTGTTCTCCTGGATCAAAACCTGCTGGCCTTGAGAAGTCTCTCCCTCCTGAAAATATAATCAGCAATAAACCTCTTAAAATAGAACAGTGTCCCCTTATATCTTCAGCATCTTAGTCAATAACCGCTTGTTTTCATGTCTGTTTCTAAACTATCAGTGAACAGTGAATGGCACTGATACTTTACAGTAAAAACAAGGTATTTGGAAAAAAAATTTTCTGCTCGGATTTGAAGAGGGACTAAAATGAAACGAAACAAAGAAGCTGGGAGAAACAACGGCGTATATACATCATCCAGCCGAGACCCCACTGCAAAAATAATGTTGCAATTTAAGTTAAATTATAATTAATAGCAGCTTTGTTGAAGTGTCTCAAATTATCGCTTTAGATGCTGAAGCTCTCAAATGGTTTCCATGGCAATATTTCCTCTAGATGTCAGCGCTATCTAATTTTTTTGTGCCTGATATATGACAACCTGAAGCTTTTAGTGCCTTTCATTGGGGGGAGGGGTTCCATTAAATAATCTCGATTTATTTTTATATGCATTTAAATATGTTTTATTTGCAGTTGGCTTCTGAGCCTAAAGCCTACAATTTTACATATTTTGAAACTTAGGAAATAGGAACCACAACTCCTTCATTTATCTTCTGTAATGAAAAAATGCCTTGTTACTTCTCCCCACCTGCTCAAAGGGACAGGCAAGAACTTTGAGGCTAAAGAATTCAAATCTCTTCTTAATATTCTGTTCTTACAACTGTCTTTCGAATCAGTTCATTGTGTTTAAGCACCTGTCTTGAAACTTCTTCTATTGATTTTTCTTCTGTGAGTTTTATATTCCAATAGTAATGTTTTAAAGCACAATTAGCGCTACTCATGATTTCCGAAGACTTTCTATAATGGTGATAACCATTCTCTCTGTGCTGAACCCCGAGGGGTTCGTATCGGGAACGAGGGAATTTGGGGTTTCTGTTCTTCTGCAACGTTGCTTCAGAGTTCTTAGTGTCCCACGTTGCTCAGGTGATACTGTCAATATGTGGCATCGTCCTTTGTCAGATTTTGAGGCCAGAGGCCTGCAGTCAGGGCTACAGATATCATTGGCCTGCCCAGGCAGCCCACCACCCACAGAGAAAAACTGGGCTACGTTAGTTGGTTGCCTTAAAACCATGCAGTGATGTTGATAATTTGGTCGAGCCAGTGTAGACCAATGCTTTCTCTTCAGAGGCAGTTCACCTTAGTGTTTTGCAAGTGGTTTCTGGAGCCAATTTCCCAGGTTTGAACGCTGGTTCCACCACTTCTTGGTCATGGGACCTCAGACAAGTGTTTAGCCTTCCAACCTCACAAGATTCACATGAGGATGAAAACCGTGCCTGACTGGTAGGAAGCACTATTATTATTATTTCCTAAACAGCTTGTTCCTGGCATTTGAATTTCATGTGAATTTACTTGTTGTACTCTACAACAGAAGGAAAACACTTCTAAGTTGATACCACCACAACTAACCACTTGCTATTCTGAGCCCAGGGAGTCTTATACGTGAGGAGAGTGTGGTCCAAATGATGGCTAATTTCACATGATCCTGGAAGTTCGAACTTTACTACTTGTCACATATAAACAGCCTACGTGGCCGTTGGGGGTCTTCATTGTGTCATGTCTCTCATCTTGCAGCGGGTGAGGTTCAGAACTTGTCACTGGCACTCAAGAGCCCCGGTTGTCCTTGCTGCCAAGGGAAGGAGACCACACTCGCCCCTGCTCAGTGCACAGATAGCAGAGGTGCTAATTAGACAGTTATTTGCTTTTCTGACAAATCCTCCCAAGAATGTAGCAAAGGGAAGGGCAAAAACCTTTAGAAATTGAATAAAACATTCATGTTTTCTGTTTGGGGGGGGATATATTTTTACTCACCCAGTTCTGATATCTGACCATTTTACTGTGTCCGTATAATTAGGGGAACATCTTCGCATAGGCCTGCTCTCTCAAAGTATGTTTGTTATTATTTCCTTTTTTTCCCACCTGAAGGTGGAGGAAGGGAAAAAGGAAAAGTGCGCCAATATTGAGCTCTCAGTTTGCTTCTCACATGCAAGATAAAGACAGTGGAAGGGAAGCTTGTCTGCGTGTTAAAGTGTGACTGTGATCCATGTCTGAATGTGTTTGGGGTCTGTGATAGATTTGCCTTGTCTGTGGGTGAGGAAGGCAGGAGTGCATGGATGGGCTCTGAAGCCTCAGCCAGGCTGTTTAGTAAGCACGTTCGCGGGAGAAGAATCTCCCACCACCAGTTCTGCTTGCCCTGTGCTGGGCAGAGGAGGGGAAGAGAGCTCATCTGCTAATCTCTGGAAGGTGCCAAGGAAACACGGTCTATCAATATACTGAGGATGACCAGATAAACAAGAAAAGCCTGTGCAAGGGAAATAAGCAGAAATCCACAGGCCTCTATGAGACACTGAATCAGAGCTGGAATAGCGCCACGCCCCGGGGGTCATCAGCATGTGGTGTCATTTGAGGATCCCGAAGAAAAGCGTATTGAATGTAGTCTTTGCCTATTTGATGCAATCTGGTCTTGAGACTGTTAGTACCTAACGTCTATTTTCTAAATAGATAGATCTAAAGTCTATCACAACATTTCCCATAATGTGGGTTCCTTGATGCTCCAGCACCACCTGAATTTCTTGGCTCTCCCAGCAAATTTAGCAGGGTGGGGCATGGAAGTTAGCAGCAGAATGGAGCATGCGGCATGGATGAGGTTAGTGGTTTGGTCTCAGTAGTGTCTCTCGGTCTCCGTGTTTCTCTACGTGCATTTCCAAGAGAATGTTGGTACCCAGGAGAAAGGTCAGTTACAATGAAATCATTTGAAATCTAGCTATCAAAATAGCAATCGTTCTGCTTGCCAGAATAAAATGGATTTGCCTGAAGGGAGTAAGCACTCACAGGCATTGGGACAACCAGGCTTAAGTTATAAATAAAGCCAAGAAAATAGAGATGTTCATGTCAAAAACAGGACCCTGCCCTTGAATTTCGTAAGGACTTCTGTAGGACCTGAGGGTTTTCCAATGATTATTTTCTAATAATAACCAAAGACGAATGGACACGAATCATTAGGAACTTTTCTGTGTTCTACATGTTCATTTCCTTTATTGGGAACAATAAGAACGCTGCCTTGCTCTAAGAGTTGAGTTGAGTTTAGGCAGATGACTTTCAAAATTATACCTGCATGGGAGACTTTATAATTAGAAGAAGCCACACAAACGTTTACATATCTCTTAATAGACTGATTTAATTAGACTAGTCAACAAACATCCAATGAGTTCTTCCTACTTAGCTGCACTATTTGTCATTGGGGCTGCAGACATATTTAAGATTGGCCTCTGCCTTTAAGAGGATGATTACCACAGAAGGAGTGACAAGAATTAAGGTTATAGCCATTGAAAAGAGGGCCAGACATTTAATCTGAGGTGGCTGGGGAGAGTTTCAGGAAAGAGGTAAGATTTATTGGACAAAGAGAGGAAAAGCAAACCAGATGTCCAGACAGAGCGTGCTATGGGTAGGAGCAAAGGCACGTGGGCCTGAAGCCTCAGGAATCCGTGTGCCTAGAATATTAAGTTGTAAAAGTGGTCCCATGAGGGAAGAGGCCGGAGAGAAACTCAGCTCAAGAGAGGCCTTCCTCCCGTGCCAAGGAGTTCGCATTGTATACCAAAGGCAATTCTAGGATATTTTTAAATGTCCTCTTGTCATTTCTAGCTCTTGCCATTTTCCCTCGGTCATCTCAGGTCACACCCACACCTTCCACTACTGTTTCTATCAATAACTTCAGGGGAACCAGGGAGAAGCATATCAATATCTCGAAGCATCTGTGTTTTTCTGAAGTTTTGTGGCCAAGGATGCAAAGCCATAAGGAAGGCTTTGGAGCAGAGAGAAGCCATGCTGTGTTCTACCATCCACATTACCTGAAGAAGAAAAGCAAATAGTTTCATAGTACTGTGAATATCATACAATAGAATAATAACAAAATTACCACCGTAATTTTTTGTCACCATACTTCATGTATCTGGAGATTTATATTATTTAAAGGAGATCGGTAGATTTCTGTGTTTATCAAAAGGAGATGAGAAATATGACCTACTCACAAAATATCCAGATGTCTAGTAGATACCTCCACCTAGGAGTCCTACAGGCACCTCAAACTCAGTGTGTCCAAACCCGATTTCTTTCTCTCCCACCTCCCCTGAAAAAGGCTGCTTCCTCCATAGGCCCCACCCAAGCTAAATTGTCTTAAAGCTGGGACTTCCTCAACAGCTCACCTGTCTGTCTCTTCCTAGACCTCAAAAGGCAGGGTAGGGAAGATTATTGACTTTGGAATTAACCCTACCTGGGTTCTAATCCCAGCTAGGCCACTTACAAGCTTGATGACTTTTTTAAAGGATATGGACTAAATAATGTCCAGAGAAGGATCATTCCAGCATCAAAAGGCCTGGAAACTATACCAAAGATGGACAGTGAAGGTACGAGCTTTCATCCTTGAAAAACGGCTCTCAGTCTTTGAAGGGTGGTTTGCGTCAGAGAATTACGTGCATTAATAACGAAGTCTCACTGTGCCCTGTGGGTGTGTGAGTTACAATGTGGTAGCTACAAAGAAGTTCAAGCAATCCACTGTAGATGGATGGGATCATCGCCCAAATGGTATCCATGCTTAGATTAGTATTTTGACTCTATAAACCAGACTATTCAATGAGGCATAGAAAGTTCTCATTTAATAACAATTTTTGTCCGTTTTATTGTTCAGTGTGTGTCCACAGCACTTAGATGCCTGACACATGTAGAGAGTCTACAAAGATTTGTTGAATGAATAAGTGAATTTGTCACATCTACTGATATTTCTCTGAAGAGAAAACTCAGTTTTAAAGAAGAAAGCCAACATTTCTAAAAACATTATATGTTTTTACGTAAAGCCAGTTTTATTCACATATGATAATTTTATGATCACTAATATCAGGTGATAAGCCTATAAATGCGAGATCTTTGCATTCTTGGGCTGACATTTGGAATTTTGAATATCAATGCATGCTATGTAACCTAGAAAATCCTGAAGGGACGTGGGAAAGTGAGCTAATGGGAAAGTAGCCAAGTGCACTGTACTTGGCATTGGCTCTGCCTGTGTGAATTTCCCCGCCCATCTGACGAGACTGAGGATTGGCCCAGTTAAAACAAGCATATAACACTGAAAGGTCTCTTCCGCCTCCACCAGTGAAAGATTTAGGGGAATGTGAAAAGTCCCAAGGACTCAGTTAAGTTCTCTTACATTTGTACCTTTCTTAGTGTCCATGGTTTCAATCAAATTAACAGGTTTGAACGGTCCTGATGGTTGAATGAATTTGGAGTATGGTATATCTAGGAAAGAATAATTTTCCTGGTCCTAAGTAAGAATGCCAAGTCTAAGAGAGAAAGGGTTAAATAGCATGTGCTGGTACCATCTGGAATCTCCCTTTCTGTTGCATATTTCTTAGAGGAAAGGAGGAGAAAGGACCCTACCTGCTTTTTATCATTATTCTGGGGAAGCTTGGAAGCCCATAGGCCTGGGAATAAGTTAGTCTTAGAAAAACTGAGTCCTTGGTGAGATTCTCCCTGAATCGTACCACAAACCTGTTTCCTCAGTATGTGCACATTTAATTATGCCCAATAACTACTTTTAACATACTTTTATATTGGTGACATGCAGTAGCCAAGGTTCTAGGAGAAGCTACTTCTATTGGAGGATTTACCTTAAACCTTAACTTCTCAAACAGAAGTCCAACAAATGCGAAATCGTTTTTGAAGTTGAATTAGCGTAGACGGATGGTAATAGATACTCTCCTGACCTATAGAAAGACTTCAGGATCTGTTTGCCTTTTGTGTACTTGAAATTTAACTTAGAAGAACGTCTAGATTTAATACAACTAATTCTTATTTTTTATAATAGGGAAAGAAATAGAAAATTTATTATGTAGTTAATATTCTTTTCAATACGTATGAAATTTTACACCCTTACAAATTGCTGAAGTGTATGATGTTTCATTGGGGCCATGTAAAATATTCATTTAAAGAAATGATTATTATATTTAAAAAAAAGAAATGATTACTTTTTAAACCAGTGCTGTAAACTGTAGAAAGCTTATCTACAACTATATCCATTGCCGCCAGTTATGAATGGGACAAAAGTGGATGGGAGGCAGATTCTGGCCAAATGTAAGAAAAAGTATTCTACTATGTAAGCTTGTCTGTCCGTGGAACTGGAAAAGCCAGCTCAGGTAGTTGTAAGATTCATTAATATTCCTCCAAAGGAGCTATAGTGCTTGCCTGGGCCTTGTGCAAAAAGAACAGCAGGAACAGAGGCAGAGGTTGCTCTGATTCTTCTGGGGAACAATAGCAAGATGGGTCCAAATGAAATGTCATTTGGGAAAACAGGAAGTGTTGAAGAGTTGTGTGAAGAATAGGTGTCAGATTACTTGAGATTAACAAAATACAGGATTTACACTTGACTTTTCATTTCTTTCTCTACAGCCAGTGCTGATTTTCCATATAATCCAGGACAAGGCCAAGCTATAAGAAATGGAGTCAACAGAAACTCCGCCATCATCGGAGGTAGGTGACCTATACAACAGGCTTTTGTGTGGCTGCTCACCTGTGGAAGGTAGTAACTTTCAATAAAATTGTAGTCTAGGAAAAAAAGAATTGTCTAGATTTGTTCTTTATTCATTTTGCTATTTAAATATGACAAGATTGTGATATGCGGATGTGGAGAAACTGTGGTAAATGTAGCCAGGGAACTTCTTAATGCAAACTTGTAGAAAAGAATGCTAGTGGTGAGCCAGCCAGAATCTGAGTGTGCAAACCGGCAGTCATGGCAAAAGCCTGGACATTTCGTTATTCCCTCCTATCTTTTTTTACTCTCATCCCCTCACATCCCAAATGGTCCAGGATAGCTTACTACAAAAACGGGAAGGATTATACGAGGCTGGTTTCAGTTATCCTAGTAAACGTTACCAGAAAATTAATAAGCCAGAGTATCTAGAATATTCCAGTCTTTTCTTCTCACCAGGGACAGCTGCAGAATAGTTTGACTCTCCTAATGTAGTCCATCATTTTCGGATCAATATTGATAGCCTTGTTGCCCTTGACTTCTCTCCCTGCTTCTGTCTTATTTTGTGAAGATGTTTCCTGCCTCTCTGAAGATAGCTAGTATTGTAAGTCTATCTAGGATTTTAGACTCAATCAACTTGGCTTAGCCAGGAGGTTTCTTTTCCACATGAAGAAAGTAGATACCTATAAGAAATATGTATGACTATAAAATTAGGATACATTCAGAATGCTGCTTAAACTCACATTGTCCAAAGTTCTGGTATAATCTTATCAAGGTCTCTATCCTCGTTGTTTTTTGCTTTTTTTAAGATCACCTTTACTGAAATATAATATGCACTTGTTTAAGTGTAACAGGTAGATGACTTTTGACAAATGCATACACCCATAGCCACCACCACAATCAAGATATGGAACTTTTCCATCCACGAAAAGTTCTTCGTGTCCCTCTGTAGTCCATCCTTCTCCTTGCCCCACTCCCAGCCGAGGCAATCATTGATTTGCTTTTTGTCACATAGATTACTTTTGCCTCTTTTAGAGTTTCATATAAATTGAATCACATAGTATGCTACGTCTTTCACTCAGCATAATGCTTTTGAGATCTGTCCACATTGTTGCATGTATCAATAGTCCGTTTATTTTTATTGCCAAGTTGTACTCCCTTGTAGGAATGTACTATAATTTGTTTATCTACTCACTTTTTTTTTTTTAAAGATTTTATTTTTTCCTTTTTCTCCCCAAAGCCCCCCAGTACATAGTTGTATATTCTTCGTTGTGGGTCCTTCTAGTTGTAGCATGTGGGACGCTGCCTCAGCGTGGTTTGATGAGCAGTGCCATGTCCGCGCCCAGGATTCGAACCAACGAAACACTGGGCCGCCTGCAGCGGAGCGCACAGACTTAACCACTCGGCCACGGGGCCAGCCCCTATCTACTCACTTTTTGATAGATGTTTGGTTTGTTTCCAGGTTTGGGCTATTTTGAATAAAGCTGCTATGACTATTCTTGTACAAGTCTTGTGTGAACATAAGTTTTCATTTCTCTTTGGTAATTCCTAGGAGTGCAATTGCTGGGTGTTATAGAAAGTGGACATTTAACTTTATGAGAAATTGCCGTACAGTTTTCCAAAATGGTTGAACCATTTTACGTTCCCATAATCAATAGCTGAGAGGTCAAGTTGCTCCACGATCTCACCAATACAGCCACTCTAGTGGATGAGTAGTGGTACCTCATTGTGGTTTTAATATGCAATTATCTGATGACTAGTGGTGTTGAACATCTTCTCATGTGCGTATTGTGTGTAAATCTTTTATGAAGTGTCTGTTTAAATCTTTCCCCATCTTTTAATTGGATTGTTTGACGTATTGCTATTGAGTTGTAAGAGTTCTTTTTATATTCTGAATACAAGCCTTTGTCAGACATTTGTATTGTGAATATTTTCTCCCAGTCTTTGACTTGCCTTTTCATTTTCTTGGTGGTATTTTTCAGGAGATTCTAATTTTGACAAAGTCCAATTTTTCTAATCTTTTTATAGTTTGTGATTTTTTTAAAATCCTATCTAAAAAAATCTGTCTACCCCGAGATTGTAAAGATTTTCTCCTATGTTTTCTTCTAGAAGCTTTGTAGCTTTAGTTTTTGTTGTTAAGTCTATAATCACTTTGAGTTCATGTTTGTTTATAGTGTGAGATAAAGATCAAAGTCATTATTTTCCAAATGAATGTCTAGTTTTTCAAAGACCACTGGTTTCCCCATTTAATTTTCTTGGCACTTTTGCCAAAAACCAATAGACTATCCATGTGTGTGTCTATTTTCCAGACTCTCTATTCTGCTTTGTTGGTTTGTATATCTTTCCTTAGCCGGTACCACACTTGCTTTATTGTTGACTCTTTACAGTAAATCTTGAATAAGCAGTATAAGTTCTCCAATCATTTCTTTTTTGTTTTTCAAAATTATTTTGCCTATTCTGGGTCCTTTGTATTGCCATATAAAATTAGAATCAGCTTATAAATTTCTACCAAAAAAAAGTTTGTGGGGCTGGCCCAGTGGTGCAGAGGTTAAGTTCCCCTGTTCCGCTTCAGTGGCCTGGGGTTCGCAGGTTTGGATCCCAGGTGCGGACCTGTGCACTGCTTATCAAGCCCTACTGTGGGAGGCGTCCCACATATAAAGTAGAGGAAGATGGGCATGGATGTTAGCTCAGGGCCAGTCTTCCTCAGCCAAAAGAGGAGGATTAGTGGCAGATGTTAGCTCAGGGCTAATCTTCCTCAAAAAAAAAAAAGTTTGCTGTGATTTTCATTGGGATTGCATTAGATCTGTAAATGGAACATCTTAACAATATTGACCTTAAACATGGTATATCCATGCATTTATTTAGGTCGTCTTTAATTTCTCTCAGCAAGGTTTTATGGTTTCCCGTGCACAGTCTTGAACAACTGTGTTCACTTTGTTCTATTATAAATGGTATTATTTTATTACTTTCATTTTCCAATTGTTTCTTCCTAGTATATAAAAATACAGTTGATTTTTGTATATTGACTTTCTATCTTGAGACCCTGCTAAATTTACTGTTAGTTCTAGCAACTTTTTTTTATATCCCTTAGAATTTTCTACATAGACAATCATGTCATCTCAGAATAAAGAGAGTTTTTACTTCTTCCCAATCTGTACACTTTTTATTTCTTTTTCTTGTTTTATTGCACTGGCTAAGACTTCCAGTCCAATCATGGATGAAATTGTTACAAACCGACATCCTTGCATTGTTCCATATTTTAGGGGAGATGTATTTAAGCTTTCACTATTAAGTAGGATATTAGCTGTAGGTTTCTCATAGATCCCCGTATCAGATTGAGAAAGTTTCCTTCTGTTGATCGTTTCCTGTGAGACTTTACAATGAATGGGGGTTAAAGTTCATCATATGCTTTTCCTGCGTCTAGTGAGATGATCATATAGTTTTTCTCTTTTATTTGCTTAATGTGATAAGTTACATTGCTTTATTTTTTAATATTAAACCAATCTTGCATTCCTAGAATTAATAACACTTCATCATAATATATTCTTTTTTTACATATTGCTGAGTTTGATTTGCTAAAATTTTATTAAAGAGGAATATTGTTCCATAATTTTCTTGTAATGTATTTGTCTGGTTTCAGTGCCAGGATAACACTGGCCTCATAAAATGAATTGAGTAGTATTTCCTCCAATATTTTAAGAAAGATGTGTCAAATCAGTATTATTTCCTCAGGTCAAGTTTGTTAATAGTGTTTTTGAGGTCTTCTAAATTCTTACTGATTTTCTGTTTAATTGTTCTATCAATTACTGAGAGAAGAGCGTTGAAATCTCCAAGTATAATTGTGAATTGGTCTAATTTTTTCTTTAGTTCTGTCTGTTTTTGTTGTTATTGTTTTGGAGTTTTGTGTTTTGTATGGGAGAGGGTAGTGTTTGAGGGAACCATGGTGAAGTGGGGAAAAAGCATCGGAGGGACATATGAGATCTGTTTAACCTCTAGCCCTTCTCCTGTCTCCACCAGGGGTCATTGCTGTGGTGATCTTCACCATCCTCTGCACCTTGGTCTTCCTCATTCGGTATATGTTCCGTCACAAGGGCACCTACCACACCAATGAAGCCAAGGGAGCAGAGTCAGCAGAGAGCGCAGATGCTGCCATCATGAACAACGACCCCAATTTCACAGAGACCATTGATGAAAGCAAAAAGGAATGGCTCATTTGAGGGGTGTCCATTTGGCTGTGGGATAGGGAGGGGGAAATTATTAGGGAGGAGGGAAAAAGGACAACACCCTGCTTCATACTCTTGAGCACATCCTTAAAATATCAGCACAAGTTGGGAGAGGCAAGCAACAGAAAATTCTTGCGACTGATCACCACAAAAAGTACTTTTTAATATTTCTTTATAGCTGAGTTTCCCCTTCTGTATGAAAACAAAATAATACAAAAAATGCTTTTAGAGTTTAAGCAATGGTTGAAATTTGTAGGTAATATCTGTCTTATTTTGTGTGTGTATAGAGGTGTTCTAAAAACCCATGGTAACAGGGCAAGTTTTCTACATTTTGAAGAGCCCTTAGAATGTGGATATTTTTTCTTGAGAAAAGCTGATGCACATACATATGGTCTCCAGCATTCTCTTCCTTTTACATATAGTCAACTTTTAACGGGCTATTGTAGTAACTAGTTTGTGTTCATAGAATATTTCCTTTGGTGTCCTGTAAATTGGAAAAGGAAAGAAAGGGGCAAAGAGAATCTGTTTTTTGCCAGTTTTCAAAGAGACCTCAGTTTATGCCACTTCTCTGAGAGATTCCCCCCTGAAGCAGTTGAAGGAAGATAATACGTGGCACCCGTCATATAGTGAGGTAATCAACACAACAGAAAGAAGCATTAGGAACCGGGGGAAGTAGTTTCATATTGGGATTGTTGGTTTTATTTTTCATCGAATTCTACAAGACAATATTGATCCACGTACGTAGTCTTAGACCTGTTCAATATCTGTAACTATCAGCTATCATACCGTGGTGCCCAGCTGTTACAAAAGATTCTTCCTCTGCTTTACCTGCAACGTACTGGGCTACGTTATATGTGTGAGTAAGTACGTCAGTGGGGAATTAGAGCCAGAGGTTATGATTTGTTCTGTTTCTCTTATAGTTGTAGCAAGAGTATGGACACTTTCTAGTGAATGCATAAATTAGGTTGTTCTTCTTATTTTGCCTTAAATCTCTAGTTTTTAAGCCCCTGTGACAAAATCCTAGCAGGCAATGTCCTTGAATGGACACACCACAATAAAATCAAGTTATGATTTCTATTACCATTTCTGTTACTCGGGGATCATACGGAAAACACTGCCATGTTTTGTCATCTACTCCATGTGTTTTTCCATCCTAAACAGACACACGTCCCTGATTCAGGATCTTCTTTGGCAGATACAGTTGAACTTCAGATGCGTCACAAACCTGGTACCTGATTGTTACTTCTCAGAGAATTGACATGTCTAATCAATCACACCTCAGTTTAATCAGGAACCGTGACCAACCTGTTCCAACAAATAACTCATTGATTTCATTAAAAAATAATAGACTTTGTATAAACAAATGAGGACAAAGCTCCCATTGGAGGATCCAAAACATAATTTCACTTACTTATTTTTAAAAAGATTAGACAAGAGTTATTTCTAGAATGACCTCCACTTCTGATCCTTATAGTTCAGGCTCTTATACTTAATAAGCATTTTTTTAAAAAATTTTAGACTCCAACAATTGAAGAATTAAATATGATCACTCTTTTCCTTCTCATCCCAGAAGGAGTTAAGATAAGGTTAAAAAGGTGTTGATGCAGTTTTCTGAAGGCCTGCCTCAATAAAATGGAAATACTAGTTTGTTTGGGTTATATATACATACTTTTCAAGATACTTGGTATGCCTAACCTATGGGAGGATCTCAATTCCTTGAATAATGAAAAATATCATCCAGAACTGCCAATGGCACGTTGCACCAGGACACGACACATTCCAAGGGAGGCATTGGACCAGTTAATTCCAAGTCAAGGTAACAGAACAAAAGGGAATCCTAATGCCCCTTTTCAGTTGCTGACCTCAGGCGCTATCCTGAACACCCTCGGTTTAGAAAGGTCTTGATCATTCTTCCATAAAATACATTTTAAATGAAAAGTATTTAATGTGACTAAATATCAAAACAGTGTAGGATTTACAAATGACATATTGAAAACAAAGCCTATGTATTTGACCAAGATGACTACCATTAAGGATTCTTTTATGTATTGTCAGATTGAAAAGGCAAATTTTAGACGTATGTCTTCGAAATGTTTCTGATTTTTTAAAACCTGTTTTACAGGTATTACTTTTGCATTTAACAAATAATGCCAGATGGAAACATTATTTCTTGCATCTCTCGTGATTTATTCTGGAGGCATTGTCTTAGCACTTTGCCTTTCTTCCCAAAATGCTTAGGGAATTAAACTAATCAGACACAGCCCCTGAGACTAGAATGTTCTCACCCTTTTCCTTCTCTCTTCTTTCCTCTTTTGTGCCACAAAAGGTGAAAAATAAAACCCAACACTTCTCCCACCAAATTTTCAAACCTCGGGCTCCGGATAGGCTACAGGAACCAGTGGGTCTCCCATCTCACCATCATTTAAGACCCACAGAGGTGTGATACAGGCTCTGCCTTCAGGGGTTATGGTCCAGCAGACAGGACACAAACAGGTGGATAAGGTATTAAGTAAGTAAGTGCCAAATGACTGCTGGAAATCTTGGCCTCTCTTAGGGGTTGTGGTCTTCACAAAAACTCCTAAATCTATTTATGAAGGCCATATCCAGTATATTCTAAATGATGAGTTATCTGTTTATGTGAAGAAAAGGAGGCAGCTCTTTTCTCCAGCTCCCTCCCTTGAAAGCTTAGGACAATGCAGCCTAGATAGCCACGACTTTCTGACCCCAGCTCAGTGCCTGATCTTGCTTTGTCAGTCATATCCTGCAAAATCTTGCCGTCTTATATCCCAATACGGTATCAGTGGAGCACAAATAGGCTAGTGGTAGCCTCTTTAAATAATAAGAATAGACACAACAAAAAACAAAGAAAAAGTGTTTTAAGTAAGAGGCTTTTTTAAAGGGAAAGCTGTTGGCTGATTTAGGGTTGCTTTACAGGAAGCATGCTCTGTATAAAGCAAGCCTCTATGTTTTGAGAAGCTTGGGAGGTGGGGGGACTTTGAATGAATGCAAAATCAGTGCCATTGTTAGCTCTCAACATATTCACTTGAGCTCGAGGAAGCTAACTCAGGAGGTAGGAAGTTAGAGTGTTGTTAAGTTCTTCTCTGGCCCTTGTTCCATATATAAGACTATATTTGCCCTTGTAGCTCTCACCCAACTGCTCAAAGAAAGAGACTTGTTTTATGGAAGTTTTTATTAAAGAGCTGAGAACAAGAGTTTGGAGTGCCTTAGATGGAAAATTTCCTGTTGCACTGCATTTGATAGACAAGTATCCTTTCCTAACGGGAGCAGGAATTCAGAGGCACAGGAAAAAGAATTGGCATGAGCCAAAGAGTAGATCTTAACCTTGCTGTTGAACATCTGTTGAGCAGGCACCAGATGCCGGCTGAGAGCTGGGCGCAAAGACGCAAGCACTTAAGGAGAAAGCATGCAGCTGCCGGCTAGGAACATGTAGTATCAGTGCGGTGCCAAGAAGAAACTTGTAGGAGGATCTGTCTTTGCTGTCTTTCCACTTGTTCTTTTTCTCCCTCTCCTTTCTCTTAGGGTGTGAACATTTTAATGGTCCCTTCACATCTTGCTTCCAAACGATTAGCACCTGATTGGAACCTCTTAATATTTTTTTCCTTTTCACCATCCTGTCAAGCAGCTTTCCAAAAGAAAGGCAGCAATCGTCAAATTGAATTCCAGTCTGCCAAATATAGGTCCTAAATTGCTAGGCCGGATAGAACCACCTGATCCTGAAGTAGGTGGGCCACAGGAACAGCAGGCCCAGCTGATTTGAGCTAAAAACCAGTGGGCGCCATTTTGTAAATGACATTTTGGTGAGAGTGGACCCTGAGAGTCTGCTGAGAGTCCTAACCCTTTCCGTCCCTCTGACTTGCTGTGTGAACTTGGTCAAGTCCTAAACCTCCATTCCTCTTCACCCCATATTTAGGATAGAGCTGTTTTACCTGCTTCCCAAGATGACTGTGAGGTGCTGTTGATTCTTGACTGCAGAACACTTTGAATCCCAAATATAAAGGCCAAAGGCGACGGAGCCTATTGGAAGACTTACTTTCAGGCTGTGGTTGTAAGTCACGTCAAAGAAACCACATGGCCATGTCCAGAAACACGGAGACTTAAGGGGCATTGCTGTACAACTACTAAATTGTTAATCAGGTAGATTGCCAGGGGCCTGACCTGTCAACATTAGGAGATGCAATAGCCAAAGGCCAGAGAAATTAGAACTTCATGTGCGTAAAGCCCTAAATTCCCACCTGGCCGTGACTTATGGTTCATACGTGCCCCCAATGTGATTAACTGGCTGATAAATAAGACAACACGGAAACCAAATGTGACATTTTCACGTAGCCTGGTGGCTCTGTGCCTACACTACATATACCCTGCATGACAATGTTGGAAACTTTAAAGATTTCTTTCACAGCAGTATTTTTTGGATATGAGTGGTATATAAAACTCATCATCAATGAAATAGAAAAACCGTGTTGAAAAGTTGGTTCTCTCCCATGGAGCAGGGACTGGCAGAAGGTAGTTAGGATACATGGGCACATGGGTGTTAATATCCAGCATGCATTTACGAGTTTATTTTCCAGATGAAAATGTGCTTTAAGAGCAGTTCTGCGTAGATGGTCTGCACCATTTCCAAGTCTCGGGGTTTTTTTTACAGCAACTGCTAGATCCTGAGATGGCTATGAAAATGTGGAGATTCCTCTCCAGTAGGCCAAGAAACAGTTCTAAATGTTCCTGATTCTAAGTTTTGTTTTGTCAAGTTTTTAAATTTTTCCGGTGAGCACGGTGACTGCAGAGGTTAGAACTGTGAAAAGCTGGGCTAAATATTCTTTCTGTAAAGTCAAGTAGGAATCCATCCCTGGGAAATAACGCAAAATTTCACTCTCTAAAAGCAATGGCATGTAAACTAGAATGAAAGAAGGAAATTATGTATGTATGCCTAATATTCTTTGTGAATGTCTTTCATTTAACGGAAATTATATTAGAAACCAGATTGATAAATAAAAAATCCAAAATAGTTTTAATTATCCTAAAAGTGATTCCTCATGTTTTGTTCCACTTGATTGTCTTAGCAGCAGGTTTCAACCATCAGCAAAAGAAAATTCCAAGCCCTGAAATAGACATCTCTCGGGAATATAATCTTTCCAAAAGCTGTGGAGATATAGTCACTCCTCAAGACAGGTCTTATATGGCCGCGTCCATGGTTAACCCTCTTTTGCCACACACCCCTTTCCTCCCCCATTTTTCACAAAGTAGCTTAATAGATATTGGCTTCATGTTTTGGATTAATTTACACACAGCTTGATAAAAAATGTGGTTCGAGTTAAGTGATGTCCAGAATATATTCTGAGTCTTATTTGGAATGAGGGAGTAATAGTGGATAATGGACAAATGGATCCAGGCCAGTGAACTAGATAACAAGCATTTACAACGCGTCTGGAGGTGGGAATCTTTCTGAATGCGCTGCATGTGCATTAAGAGCTGTAGGCCCAACTTATTACTCCCACTTTCTAGTCTTCTGTTACCCTTGGGAAACCACTTCCTCTTAATAGTTTCTCAGTGAAGTATTTAAATGTATACCAAATAAGTGTGAATTCCAGTTATAAGCCCAGCCTCTCTGTTCTTCAGCAATTCCCAAAGCCCATTGATAGTGATAGTGTTCTAATGTGGGTAGAAAGCATCACTCTGCAAGGTTCTTTGTCATGATTCTGCTTTGAAAATGTGATCCGACAGGTGCGTGGAGAATGTCATAAAGTCCCTTGAGAAAAGAAAATCAGCACTTATAAAATTTCACAGCAAACACATTTTAAAAGGATGAGCTGGCAAGTTCAGGGTTTACGGTCTGCAACAAGAGCATTTGAGCCACACTATGCTTCCTTCCTTTCCCAGTCACACCTGCCACAAACAGTGTGGACACGAAGATCGCTAAATTCCAGCAGGACAACGAGTTTATTTCACACAAGGCTACGTTTGTTAAATGAATGGGGGGTAGCGAAGCAGAGAAGGGTAGAAGGGGGAATTGCAAGGGGAAAGGTACATTGAAGAAAATGCATCTAATTTTACTCTTTGTTCGTGATGACATGGCATGATGGACTAACTAGAACACAGAAAAGGGGAAGTAATTGTGTTATTATTTTTTGAGGAAGGGTTTGTGTCCTCCCAAAGGCACCGATGTATAAAATCTAACTCTTTAAAGCAAGTATTGCGTGAGTAATCATTAGCATATGGTCACCTTTCTTTGGCCACTCTGAAAACCATGAATTCAGTGGAACCTGAGCTAGATAATCCCTGGACCTGAGGATCCCCATCTCCCGCCAAACCGTGCCCCCTCCATAAGCACACTCAACACGCCTACGAAGGACCCCAGCACAAAGCGGTGCTGCCGGGAAGAGAATGAAGGCTTTCTTTTCTGATCACGTTTCCAAGATCTTTCTGTTCATCTTAAGTCATCCTCTGGCCCATGGTAAGTAGACTCTCTTGGGGCAGGGTAAATAAATAAGCACCTACACCAAGTCTTCCCCACAAGAATGAAACCAACGTTTTTTTGAAGTCCCTTGACCTAAAGCATGAGAAAGTCATTTCTTCTAAAAATTGAAAGGCAAAATTATAAAATTTAAATTGACTGACAGAGATGAAAAAGGTCAAGATGATGAAAAAATGAACTAATTTTGTGTTCACAAATAGGAAGTTGGAAGATAAAATTCTTAAGTCTAGGAAGGCGACAGCTAAAATGGGACACAAGGGCAAGCTTTTAAGTCATGGGAGATATAATGGAGGTGAATGGGAACTCCCTCCATAAGACCTATACATCAGGACCAGGGGCCACCTTTGAAGCCAGAAAGAAGGCACAGTTAGGACACATCAAGGAAAAAATAGAGAGTGCTAGTAAGAATTGTTGCAGGCAAAATAACCCAACAACATATGATTATCTTCCAAAAATGACTGAGATTATTTCAATGATTCCCTCACCACGTGGGATTTAGAGGGCAATCAAGATTAGGGGATCAGTCCACTCAATGCCTATGTACGGAATACCTTCTGTGCACTTGGCACTATTCTAGACTCAGGGATTCACTAGGCACCAAGGCAGACAGACACCTTGCTGCTCTGGTGAAACTGAGGTTCTAGTGGGAGGAGAAGGACAGTAAGTAAATAAATAATATGTACGAAAACACGATTTCTAGGCAGGAAATTAATGTTAATTAACCTTAATAGGGTGATATGACAGCATGACTGGGTGATTGCTTGTGACGAGTGGTAAGGCAAGACTTCTCTGTGGAGGCGACAGTGAAGCTGAGAACTGAAGAGGAATGCGCCTTGTGAAGAAGAAAGGGAGCCTCATTCTGGAGTAGGGAACAGCTGGTGCAAAGGCCCTGAGGGGCACTGAGCTTGGAGGTTTAGACGCAGAGTCAGTGTGTCTGGAAGGAGGGAGGGAGAAGACGCCATCCAACAGATCTAAAGATGATGTCTTCACTCCTCACAGGTTGTGACCAATTGTTCTGACCAAATTCTTGCTGGATAGACTCAAAGGCAACCAGGTGAAAGTTTTTAGAGAGTGTGGTAGGGATCTGAGTGTAGTGCGGCATCATGGTTAGGAGCCCAGGTTTTCAAACCCTTCACCACTGCTTCCTGGCTTCTTGATCTTTCTCTGTTTCATTTCTTTATCTGTAAAATGAGGATAATAATGGAAATTAGTCAATACATATAAAGTGCTTAGAACAGTGCCTTACATCATAAGCACCCCATAAATGGTAGCTTTAAAAAATGTGCTTTAATGACTAGTAACCCACCCCAGGGTAGTTTCCCAGAGAGATGCTTGCAAAGGCTCATAAGGGGACGAATACAAGGACACTCAGGCGTGCTTGCGGCAGCCGGGAGTCGTGGGCATCTGGAGTATCCATCATTAGAAAACCCGTCTGTGAAAAAGGTGAAGCATGCTGTGCAAAGCCGTACAGCCGTCAGAAGCAACAAACTAGATATATACGCAACATCTTAATCCCCTATCTTAAAAATATAGTACAGAGTGAAAAAAGTAAGAAACAAAATTAGATTCATAAAACAATAGAATTTATTAAAATGAAAAACCTACACACAGAACAACAAAACATTTTGCAAGGGTACATGAATAATTAAGGATGTGTATATGTACATAGACACCCTTCTATAAAATATATGTTACATATAAAATATTACAGTCATTACCTGTAGGGAAGAAGGAAATGGGAGCAGGGATGGAGCGGAAATCAAGTAAAACAAAATAAAACAAGAGAGACCCTGCGTGGACCGATGATGATAGAATACCATGCTACCTCTGAGGAGGATCATCAGCTTAACTCAGCCCCCAAGGGCGCTGGAGGGGAGAGAGAGGCAGAGAGAACAGCTCTGTGGCAGGGCAGCACAATTAAATCAGGGACTACCGAGGGCTGACGCAGGAACAGGTGGCAGGAAATGGAACAGCTAATACAATAAATCAATGAATAAATATTAGCAAATGAACAAAGGCAACGTGGAAGGACAGTTGACAGCAGAGCACTTCTGTTCTTGTAAATGCAATAATGTTCCTTGCATTACGGAAGTGAAGGAAGCAGCCGGGCCGGGGGTCTGCCGCTCTCCCTCCCGGTCCACCCTAAAACATGCGACCCCTTTACAAGGATGTGGAAGGAAGACGATGCCTCACTGCTCATGTGTGCAGTTTCAGGACAGTCCCAACTCTGGACAGACCTGCAGGTGACTTGGCCCATAGCTGGGCTTCTGATTCATGGATGGCATAACAGACGTTAATTGTGAAATAAGCGCGTTTAACTAGTGTTGAGTGGAAACAGAGCAGCGCTTCTGCTGGTGAAGTGCTATTTCTGAAGCCGGGCCAGTGGGCAGGTGTCACCTATTATTTACTTCATTGTAAAGAAAATGTTCCTGGTTAAATCACAGATCTTGCTAGAAGCTTGCCTGGGGCTTTGTCAAAAATACAAGAAGCTTCTGTAATATATTTCTCGATGATCAAGTTATAACTCCTCTGAATTAAATTTACAGAGCTCATTCGCTTTTATTCCAAGCAGTAACCATGGCATTCCCTGTAAATCATTACGGCGGGAGCACGTCTATCGATTACTGCCAGGCCTGGCATTACGCATCTCAGTTTAAGCGCTGCAGGAGCCAGCTCGAAAGTGTAATTAGTATCCCCGTCTGGTGTTATAAAATACAAGTCTGGGACATATGGGAAAGAAAAATGACTTAATGTGAGTCATCTTAAAAACAGGAAACCAGCAAACACAGCAAAGTAGAGAGCTGAATTTCTTCTCAAGGCTTCTTGCCTTGACGCCAGTGCTACGTTATGTGGTTGATTTGGGGGAAGATAGTTATTTATTCTTCTCAAGAAGACAACTATTTTGTGGGACCATTGAAGAGAAGGAACAAATAACAGACACAGGGTCCTGTGGTGAGATTACTTAGAAATCTTACTTAGAAATCCACTTAGAAATGCGGATGGCCGCAGTGGCCATCTCCAGACATAATCACCAGCAGAAGCTCCAAGGGACATGTCCCTTGAGAAACCATCTGTCATCTATGACACCAGGCAGGGAGGGGACATCACAGGTATATCACAGGTACACTTTGGGGCCATCCGTCCTTCATAAATTAGTCCAGACTTTTAAAATTGAATCCTATTTCCTGTTCTTACTACCTTTAGGGTAACCATGAATTTTGATTCATGAGAAGTACCTTCTTCCCCTGAGAAAAGGCGTTTGCCGAGGGCTCAGGGTCATCAAGTCCTGCACTTGCCACCACCAGGGGAAGGGAACTGGGTTGCACTAAGTAAGGTCCTACCAAAGTTCTCTATAGAATTTTTAGCCTGAGAGTTCCGGTCCCATGCCTTCTCTCTGCCTCCCTCCCTCATCTGCATGAGCCATAACTTCAGGGCCCCTGGGAAGTCCCTGCCCATGTCCTGACCCCCACTTGCCCATCCCCACTCACCCTTCCCCACTCATGAGACCTCTCTCTCTTCCTTGAATATTGATTTGAGCCAAGACCACCCCT